CACACACACACAAACACACATACACACACACACACACACCACCTTTCCCCTTTCAAATTCCAACTGCTTGACCTAGTGTACAACCTCTGGGGTCACAGCAGAGGTCACAGGCCGCAATGTCTGACAGGACCAAGACGTTGGTTGGTGCGGGGGGGGGTTATATTTCACTTTTACGGCATGGCTTTTTTGTGCAAACACAGCAAACGCTTCAGCTGCATTTCGATGTGTAGCGCTTTGTGTTCGGTGTTTTAGTCATCCCAATTTTTTAAAAATATTTTGGGGTTGTTGTTTTTTAAATTTTGTTTTGTTTTTGGAAAGTCTGAATGTGGTGATTGATTTCTGAAGACTCCGTCGATACGCTTAATGATAGGTGCACTCTCTGTCTCTTGTCTGTCTCTCTCTCTCTCTCTGTCTCTGTCTGTCTGTCTGTCTGTCTCTCGCACTCTCTCTCTCTCTCTCTCTCTCTCTCTCTCTCTGTGTCTCTCTCTCTCTCTCTCTCTCCCTCTCTCTCTCTCTCTTCCTCTGTCTCTCCCGTAATACACACTAACAGTTTCACTTTTTGCAAAATTTCACTGATTATTTTTAACCTTTGCAAAATTTCACCATGTATTGCTACTGTTGCAAAATTTCACCACTCGTTTTTACTTTCTAAGGAATGTTCTCCACATCTTCACTTGCCTCATATTTTCTCTCTGCGACAGTGAGGGACTGTGTTTTCTGGAAAAACTTGGTCTCATATTTCCCCTTTCTTAATAAGAACTTTCTGGACAACCCTGTCACAATTTTTTACTTTCATGAGAACTTTGCCACGTGCATATTTATCACTTTATGGTGAACCTCTCACCCCACATTTTCATTGTCTTTTTTTTTTTTTTTTTTTTTTAAATATTTTTTTTAATCACACATTTGTGAAGCAGCGTAGAGAAATCAGGCACTAGTCTGACTAGTCAAAATAATGAAATAGGAGAAACCTGCATTTTTCTGATCGTTTGGCAGTTTGTATTAAATTTTTGTTGGGTTTTTTTGTGCTTAAAATCTTTAAAGTTCTTTTTTAAAACTCACTGCTGTGTGGATTTCACCGAAAAACGTTGCTTAAAAGCACAAAAAATGTAAGTTTTCAGTTTCCAAGGACTCTTAAGCTTTGGAAGGCACAACTTAAGCGCCCCCTTTTCTCGCTAATTTTACCTCCGAAATCTGGCAACCGCTTCCTCCTTCAATCGTAAATATCTCAGCTTCTGTTCAAGATAGACGAGTATTTTATTTTCATCAAAAGTAAGACAAATGAACAGGCTTTAAGATGATACCCATCACTTCATATGCCTAAAAACTGACGAGCGCCTGATTCCACCGCGTCGTGGCGCATTTTTACTTTCTTGAAAACTTCCCCACACGCCTTTTCATTTTCATTTTCGTT